GGCTAGTTGCCATGGTAACCAGCCTGGTAGAGCACTAGAATTTTTAAGTCCCAACCCCATGACCAAAGGGACTGATAGTCAATCAATAGCCAGTGACAAATTACTGAATCAATCATGCCTACAGAATGAGATTGAGACCTCCATATAAACTCAGGATGGGGTTTGGACAGTGTGGATATATGAAGGTTCCTATGGCTAGGATTCTCACCTGGCCCTGGTCAGCAATCTCACTACACATGTGTGGGCAATACGTTGTTACTATATAAAGAGCTCCTCCTAGCACTCTGGGCAACACCGTGGCCTGGATACAAGGCTGCAGGAGAGCAGGGATGAGCCTAGAGTGGTGGCAGTATCGAGGACAGAGACTGAGATGGCTGCAAGGGCAGAGGCCCAGAGGCAGAGACCGGCTGGCTGCACACAGACTCACTCTGAGTGGACAGGATTCTTGTGATTGACCTGCCTCTGTGGAAATAAAGTTGGGTATAGACTTTCACCCTGTTGTCATTTCTTTGGTCACATTGAATCCATAGTGACTTGTCTCAGGCTGAAACGCATTGGTTTCAGTTTTCCAGTTGGTGGACTTGGAGATTCAGGAAGAATGGTGTGCTCAGCATGGAAGCTTGGTGCCCCCTTCCCACATACCTTACCCTTATACATCTCATCCATCTGGCTGTTTTGAGTTAACTGCTTGGTGGTATGAGGAAAAAACAAATTTTGGAGGTAGGGTCAAGAATTTTCAAAATGATTTTTGAAATAATTTTTATTTTTTAAAGAAGTGGCATTGACAACTAAGATGACCTGGCAATTCAGTGAGAAGTAGTGAAATCAGAATTTACAATAAATGTGCAAAGGATCATCAAGGTTCTGGGGTAGGCATTTGTCTTGCCAATGGGTTTCAGCCCTGGACAAGTTCACTATGGATTCAATGAGACCAAAGAAATGACAATGGAACATTTTTGCAGTGAAAGGGTTTATATACCCAACTTTATTCCTAGAATCCTGTCTACACAGATGGAGTCTGCATGTAGCAAGCCAGTCTGCCTCGGCCTCTCTGCCCCTGCAGCCATCTCAGTCTCTGTCCTCGGTTCTGCCACCACTCCAGTCTCATCCCTGCTCTCCTGCAGCCTTGCAGCCATGCCATAGTGTCGTCCAGAGCACTGGGCAGAGCTCTTTATATAAAGTCAATAATGACATATTGCCCACACGTGTGTAGTGAGTGAGCCAACCAGGGCCAGGTGAGAATCGTGGTCATAGGACCCTTCACTTTATCCACGACATTTAATACTTTCTGGGTGTGGGGAAAATGGAAGTTCCTATGGGCAGGATCCTCACCTGACCCTAAACTACTTGACAATGTAATTGGCCTACTGCTAGGCTAATGCTTTCTCACCCATTGGCAATGAGCTATTATTAACTGAGTTACTGTATAAAGAGCTCTGCCCAGTGCTCTGGGTGGAGGCAGAGATGGAGGTGGGTTATGAGCCTGCAGACTGCTGAATGCAGACATGATTCTAGTGCTCAACTTACCACCATGAGAATAAAGCTGCAAGATGACATTGACTATTTAGCAAGGCTGAATTACCCTTTCTCTCCCCATGCCTGCTTGATGAACACAGCTCCCCTTATGAAAACAACTTAAACATCATCTCTTCAAGCCTTTCATGAGAATTTACCTGTCTTCCTCCAACTGCCATCCCTTGAACCCAGAACACTGTTGGGAGACAGTCTGTAATGGGCCCTGATTGTCCCTGTAAAAAAAAGTTTATACCCAACTTTATTCCCACAGTGGCATGTCAACCTAGCCAAAGCACACGTGAGGTATAAACCCTTTTACCCCAAGACTGTTCTATTGTCATTTCTTGGTCTTACTGAGTCCATAGTGAACCTGCCCGGGGATGAAAACCTCAGGCAAGACACCAGTAATTGGAACAATGTAGTGGATGGAGCAGAGTAAAAAGATTGTTGGGGAAACAGGGGCATAAGGTATAAATTCTTGCTTTTAATGTATCTATTTAGTGTAATAAGTCAAATTTGGAAGTACTGCAGCTGTTGACAGATTCTGTGAGAAGTATGTCATGCTTTGGGAAGGGTCTAGGCTTGTACCAGACTTAAAAGCTAATAATCTGTCCTATTAGAGTTTCATGGTAGTAGGCGAGATCTTTGGGTCAAAACAACTTCATTACTCATGGCAAAAGAAGTAGCCAGAGCTTCATGCTTGTGTCAGTTCTCCATATCTCCCAAGTCCCACTGGGGTGATGGAGTAGGGCATAGATGGATATCTGCACATGCAGTGGGTTGCATTACAGGAGAGAGATACTAAGTTTGGGGGATTCACTCCTTCTACAGTAAGTGGAAGCAAGCCTGCTCCTTGGGGAGCACACTACCTCAGCTTGAAGATTGATCACCCCAAGCAACCCTGAAAAATGACCTGGTTAAAGAACAGCTCAGTACCTTGCATTCTTGGCCTCCCAGCAAGAATTTGCAGGGACACTCAGGGCCCATTACAGTCTCCCAACAGTATGCTGAGTTCAAGGGATGGCAGTTGGAGGAAGATGGGTAAATTCTCATGAAAGGCTTGAAGAGATGATGTTTAAGTTGTGTTTTCATAAGGAGCTGTGGTCATCGAGCAGGCATGGGAGAGAAAGGATAATTCAGCCTGAGACCCAGCCAAAGCACAGGTGTGGAAACTTGATAAGGTTTTGGTGTGCTCAGAATACTTACTAGGGTCTCATTATAGCTTCAGCTTGCAGTATCAGGTATGGGAAATATGGAGGATGGGGGTGCACGTGAGCAGTGGCCCACGTGAGAGATCTGGCTAGAAAGATAACCATCTTGACAATGTCATCTTGCAGGCAATGAAGGATTACTGAAGCTTCTTAAGCAGGGGAATACTATGACTGAGGGAGAGTATGTTTTAGAATGATTGCTCTAGATTACCAGGTAAAAGTGACGTCTTGAACATAGCTGTCTACATTTCTTCCTCTTAAGACCCCTTGAAAATGTTACAGAAATGAAAATTCTGGAATCAAAAGCAAAAGAGCTCAGCTGATTTTGAGAGACTAAATTCTAAATCATCAATGAGGTAAGCTAGTAAATCTTACATCACAGAACCCCCTAAAATGAGAAATTGGCTTCTGGAAGTAGGGGTAAAGAGGGTAACTTAAAAGGATTGAAAATTTAGTTAGGAATGAGTTCTGTCCTTATGCCACTACCCTTCCCCCCCAGATCCCAATTCTGAAGGCTGTGTGTTACTCAGGAGACAGTAAAACAGAGGGTCTTTGTATTGGAAGATATCATCCAGCACCTGAGGTAGAATTAAGTGAGAAGTTTTATATGAATTCTGATATGAATTCTGATTCCTTCCTCCTTTGCAGCCATTTTCTCTCACTTGACTTTTCAACAAATTTGTCCCATGGACTCAGAACTTCCAATGAGCTTTTAAATGCTCACCTTAAGAATTCAAATTGATGTATAATTAGCATACAGTATCCTATTAGTTTCATGTGTATTTCATAGTGATTCAATATTTTTATGCATTGCTAAATTATCTCCATTAAAAGTCAACATCTGTCACCATACAATTATTATAATATTATTGACTATTTTTCCTATGCTTTACATTACATCCCCCTGACTTATTTTATAAATGGAAGTTTGTAACTCAGTCCCCTTCACTTATTTAACCCCCCTTCACCCCCCAATCCCTCCCCTCTGGTAAGCAATGGTTTATTTCCTATATCCATTAGTCTGTTGGTGTTTTGGTTTGGTTTTTAGATTCACATATAAATAAAATCACTTGATATTTGTCTTTGACTTATTTCATTTAGGATAATACCCTCTAGATCTATCCAGGTTACTACAAATGGTAAGATTTCATTCTTTTTATAGCTGAGTAATATTTCTCTTTCTCTCTCTCTCTCTCTCTCTGTGTTTGTGTGTGTGTGTGAGAGACCAATTTACATTCCCACCAACAGTGTTGGAGGGTTCCCTTTTCTCCATAGTCTTACCAGTGCTTGTTATTTCTTGTCTTTTGGATAGTGGCCATTCTGACCGGTGTGAGGTGATATTGTGGTTTTTATTTGCATTTCTCTGATGATGGGTGATGTTGAGCATATTGTCTTGTGCCTATTAATTATCTGTCTTATAAATTTGGGAAAACGTCTGTTCAAGATCTCTGCCCACTTTTAGAATTTTTTAAAATATTAAGTTCTCTATATATTTTGGATATTCACCCTTTCTAAGATGTATGATTCGCAAATATCTTCTCTCCCATTTAGTAGGTTGTCTTTTCATTTTGTTGATGTTTCTTTTGTTGTGTGTAGCTTTATTAATTTGATGTAATCCCATTTGCTTATTTTAGGTGTTTTTCCCTTGCTGGAAAAGAGTGGTCCAAAAAAAAAATATTTCTAAAACGATGTCAAAGAGATTGCTGTGTGTGGTTTCTTCAAAGAGTAAGAGTTCTATGCTTTAAGGTCTTAAATACAAGCCCTTCATCCATTTTTGAACCTATTTTTGTATATGGTGTAAAATAATGGTCCACTGTCATTCTTTTGTATGTACCTGTCTAGGTTTTCCAGTACCACTTACTGAAGCAACTATCTTTTCCCTATTGTATATTCTTGCCTTCTTTATCATAGATTAGTTGATCTTATATGTATGGGTAAATGCCTTACCAGAGTTTAAAGATGATATTGTAATTATTAAATAGACATCAGTCTGGCAGCAATTCAGAATCAGTTGTAACCAAGCAAGACTTGGAAAGGCTTTAGGGAAAAGCTGACCAAAGAGACCTGAGCTAAGGTAACAGTTGTGGAGATGACAATGATAGCATTTAAAAAAGCAAATTATAGGCTCCTTGCTAGAAAACTAATTCTGAACCAATGGGGTTGAAGGTACGGGATTCTGGAATCTGTTTTTTAGAATCACCTCAGCTAATTCTGATGTAGCCAGCTGGGGAGTGATCTAGAGATGGGTGACTAGAAACATATGCTATAATTGGATATAGGAAGGTTAAAAAAAAAAAAGGAGGGGGAAGACCTAGGTTTCTTCACCAGCGGGCTGGCTGGATGATGGTGTCGTTCCCAAATAAAGAAACAAACATAAGATACACATTTGCCTCCAGCCCCCACCCTGCAAACCCGCGCATGAGCACACACACACACATGATAGTTTTAAGTAGCCTGTGGTACATCCTGGTGACAAGCCTCACGGGCAGGTGGAGATAACTCTTGCTTTGATTACTGGTACAGTTTCTTGCCGCTAATACTTAAGACCCTAGATCATCCTATACCTTTCCGTGTATATTGTTGCTGGGCTGCCTTCTCAGCCCTTCCCTCAACACGAACAAAAAAGCAGCCAAACAAAAATCCCTGGTTATTTCCTCTCTGCTCCTGCACAGTAGCTTAAAAATCACTATTACTGCCGTTGGCACTTGTAATTGATTTACATGTCTCCAACTATAGCTCTCTTGGCAACATTACTATTCAGGCATGTAGTTTAGGTAACTACCCCTCAGACCTGTTTTATTTTTTTCTACAGCTCCAACTCAAAGCTGAAAATTTCTTAGTTAACGTTTACATTAATATCTCCTGTCTTGCCTGAGGGTTTCTGCCCGGACAAATTCACTATGAATTAGGTGAAACCGAGAAATGCCAACGGATGGTTCTTGGGGTAGAAGGATTTATCCCTGGCTTTATTCTCAGGGCGGTGGGTCGAACACTAGACTCACGTCTGCATCCAACAGTCTGCAGGTGCATAATCCACTCTTTCCCAGAGCACTGCGTCGAGCTCTTTATATAGTGACTCAGTCAATAATCACTCATTGCCTAAGGCTATGAAAGTAGTAGCCTAGCAGCAGGCCAATTACATCATCAAGAAGTTTAGGGTTAGATGAGGATCCGGACTTTCCTTTCCCCACATCGCCCGATTAAAGTATCAGCCCAGTTATGAGAGGGCCTTTGCAGGCTCCATCGCTGCAGTCACAGTCCCTCACAATCTAGGGCAGATTTTCAGGAAATGTCAAATGGATGAGGTCCACTCATTCTCGCATTTCACAACGATTTCATCTTGGCTCACATCAGCCCTGGACGATTTCTTTATCTTCACTCCCTAAATGAGGAGACTGTGGCTCAGAATCAAATTACCTTGCCCAGAGTTTCTTAGCAAGTATGAAAGGGTACGCAGCTCCAAGCAGGTCAACCCGAGTCCTTCCAAATCCTGTCCAAAACCCAGCGCGACCAGAACAGCCGCCTCAGCTGAGAGCAGTCAGCAAATACTCGGCCAGTTGCTCTCGCTGCTTGGCTCCAGAGCTTCAGGAGGGGGCGGGGTAGAGCGCCGCAATCCGCCCCACGGCGCTGGCGCTGGCGTCAGGGGCGACGCAGCAGATTTACGCAAGAGCTGGCGTACTCGCGTCTAGGCGGGGCGCGGTCGGCTCGCGGTAGGTCTTGTGGGTAAACTGCCAGGAGGAGGTTTGAGAGGAGTCGGACCTCCACCCCACGCCCCCAGACCTTCTGAGTGAGTCGCGGCTCGAGGCTGTGTCCGTGGGGGCTGGTGTGAGGGAGGCGGAGAGGCGAGACCTGGGGCTGGCTGCGCACAGTTTCGCTCAGCTTCAGGGCCACCACCTGGCCTGGGACCGAGTCGGTGATTTCTGGCAGGCTGGTGTGGTACAAAGACTGAACTGTGATATGTGTCTCTCCTGAGTCACCATCCTTGGACCCTCTGCCCCATCATTCATTTGGAAATAAGCCTGCCCTACCTTCCTGGTAGCCTGGTTTCGAAGGGCAAATGAAAAAGCGTTTTGGAAGCTATAAAGTGCATTGTTATTAAATGTAGTTGCGTAATGTTAGAAAGGAAGCTGGTGGATACGGGAAAATAAAGTTTCTAGATGATTTATTTGTCTTTAAAATCGCCAGTAACCAAGGGAGAGTCCTCAAAGCAAAATAATTTGTTGACACTCTTAAGACCTGTAATGACTAAATAGCAGTCTCTGCAGTTGTAAATAATGTAGAAAATACGTAAACATAATGATCCCATTACATATAAAATGTGCTTACCAGATTTTGGCTTTTTCCCCCTTTCTTGTAAGGTCCCAGAAATGTTTTGTGCATCCAATAGGTATGGTATTCTCAATTGGAGACAATGTATTTATGGTTCCGTTAATGAAGATGAAAACCGTAGACAAGAATAGATTTTGCCTTAATTCTCTGTAGCAACAACTGGGAAACCTGTAATTAAAAGTAGGAAAACATCTTAACTGTTTTATAGATATGTGTGGTGAGTACTGTAATTTGTCATAATCCTGGCATTTTCTTTCTTAGTAATTCATTTTATAATCTTGTCTCTTACTTTGTCAAGTAATTTTGGAGTACAATAGATTATCCTTATTGAAAATCAACTGATGTAGGTGTTTTTGCATTTAAAAATGCATTTTTTTCTGCATGTAGGTTATACATTTTTGTAAAAATACCTTCATATAATACATTCCATATTGTTGGCAATTTAATATTCATGTGGGAGAATAGCAGAAGGTACTCTGTACCAATTGTAACTTGTGAAATTATAAACTCATTACCCATAATTATAGTCCATGGTATGGAAAGTCTTCCTTGTATTTATATGATCATCTGTGTGTATGAAGAAAGCTTAAAAATATTGTATGTCACAAAAACAATAGTATTTATAGAAATGCTTACTAAAGAGAAAAACCATAAAGTAAGTACTCAAGTTAGCTTATGTTTTTAAACTTTATATTTAGAAATCATAGTATTTCTAAACCTTTTGCAGATCTTAATCTGTAAAAATAACTGAAGGAAATGAAAAAATTAAGCATGTGGTGCTTTGAATTGAGTTTGTTGGCTAATTTTTAATATATTTTTTACATGTGGTCAATTGAGAATTTTACATTTCTACTTGTTTCATCCTCGTCTATGGATATCCACATTTTATTTTAGATCTGATTCAGCATTAAGTTTATTGATCAGATTAATTTTGAATTTCATGGTTCTTACAAAGTTATCTGGACAATTCATAAGTTCAGAGCTTCTTTAATTTTATTTTTTTGATATACTTATTTTTGTGAGGAGTGATTGTATAGAAGTTTCTCTCTTCCCCTTTCTCCTGACCAGGCACCCTAAAACTCCCTGTATCCTAAACATTTCTGTATATATAGGTAAGAGTTCTCTGCTACCAATGATGTTTAAATAAACTTCAGTGAAATGACTCTTCAAGACTTGGTGCATCAGGCTGCCTCCACATATTCGGATAAAATAGCTGTATGTTTTGACGAATGTAACAACCAGCCTCCAGTTTATTATACCTACAAGACTGTGGTTAATGCTGCTTTAGAATTGTCAAATTTCCTACTATTACACTGTGACTTTAAAGGAATACGGGAAATTGGTCTTTGCTGCCATCCTGGGATAAACTTACCCTCTTGGATTTTAGGGTAATATGTTTTATTGATATGAAACTTTTAGTCCTCTAACCTACTTTACTATTTTTAACACATAGAATATATAGCAATTTACCCTTCTGTTTGCTGTTGGATTTTTCTGTATTGCTTGCTCAATTCTAGAGGTTAAGGGAGTTTGTATTTTTTATAGGGTTATTTTTGATCATTTAATTTGAGCTTATTTAGGAGATATTAGAAGTTTTCACTAATAATAGAACATGCAAGTATCACCAGTATATAAGGGCTTCATTTGTCTGCCAAGGGAAAACAGTTAAAAATTCTGTTGTTAAATTGAAGAAGTATTTCAGAAATAACATGGGTATTTTTTCCCCTGAGGTTGAAGTTTTGGTACTTACATGTTCAATAAATGAGTGAATGAATAAATGAGAGTTTTGGATAATGGTCCATAAAAATTGAGATACGAATTAAGGAAGATACTAATTCAAAAAAATATTTACAAATATTCAATCATTTAATTTTTCTAGAATATTATCCTCATACAGTGACTTCTCGGGTTCTTCAGTAAATAAAAACTGCTAAAGAATTGGAGAAATTGATATTCATCTCATAATATGTGTGTTAGTAAATTATATAAATGTAAGGTAAAAATTTTTTTTTAAATTTTCATTCAATTGACAAAAATTTACTGAGAATTTAGTATGTGCAAAGATCTAGTCTTTGTACTAGTAAAGTCACTGAATTGTACCCAGAGTACTTTTAGTTAAAAGTGATGTTTGACCATATTTCTATAAGCATTGCCACATACAAATTTTACCATTTTTTTCCCACTTAAAGTATTCTGTTTTGGTGAAATACATCTTTTTTAGTATGCAGATTTTATTAAAGTGCGTATAATAAGTTGAATGTAGATATTTAGCTTATTTTATGTTATCTTACCTCAATGAAGAAATAAGACTCTGCTGCCTGTTTGGTACCGGTAGCCAGCTAGCTAACCAAATATTATATATTGTAATACAGTAGCTTTAAAAAATCTTGGATTTGTGTAGTTAAATGATGATAGTTTAATATAGTAAATACTCCGGGTATTCAGTCATAAGAGTAAAATAAAGTAACTATAACCAAAGATGCACGAACAGAAATATTGTGAATTTCTGATAAAGTCAATAATAAAGTACATAGGGAAATAGAAATACTTAAAGATTATTTGCAACAGATATTCTATGCTGACTATGTACTTTGTTTCTTTAGGATTCTCCAAGTCCCTGCTGCTTATGCTCCTATTGATCCAGATTCACCACCAGCATTATCAACTTATTTTATGAAAAAATGTGCTCTAAAGTATATCCTTGTTGAAAAACAACAAATTAATGTAAGTGTGCATATTTAAATTGGTTTTTTAAAATGTATTAACATTTAACTTCCAATTGAAGGGTTTCTTCTCCCCACCTTCTTGATTTCTAAATTTACTAACTGTAGGGTTTCTCAGTCCCAGTGTTGTTGACATTTTTGGTTGGGAGTTGTTTGTTGTGAGGAATGTCCTGTACACTGAAGGATGTTTGACACAGTCCGGCTTCCACCCACTAGATCCAGTAGTACTCCGAGTTGAGAAAACCAGAATTGTCTCCAGAAATTGCCAGATATCTCTTGAGGCACCCTCTACCCACCACACTCTATTGAGAAGCACTGCTCTATAGCACAAACATGTCTTTTAGCCTTATAATTTCTATTATGCATTGTTTTGAATTTCCTTCCTCTTTCTAAAGTTCCTCTATTAGTTGAATTGTTCTTATAATAATTGAGACTTATATCTTCCTATATTTATGGGAATTTACAGTGGTCAAAAATATTAATTATTACTATGATTGGATTTTGAAAAGAGATTGCCACTGAGAACAGACCTTTCTGGAAAACTAAATTTATTATCTTTTTAAGTGGCTGCCAGCCAAAGATCTAGCTAAGAAACACTGTCTTAGGGGCAACAGTTGGCATTATATGTTCAGCAAGACACAGCCCATGTTTTTATTTATTGCTTATAAAATACTGTTTTATCAGTGAGAAAGGAAGAACATCATAGCAGGTATATTTAGTTTAGCCTGTTTTAGCCATTTCCCTTTTGAACCAATTTATGTTAGATGGAATGCATTTAAGTTACCCTGATGTATGTATATGTGTGTGCATCTCTATCTGTGTAGATAGGAATAAGAAGTATCAAAAGCTTCAGGTAATACAGATGACTTACTAGAGAATCATGGGTGCTAGAGTAAGGTCTCCAGAAAAAGACATCTAAGGTATAATTTGGTTAATATTATCTGAGTAGACATATTAGTGTCTGGCCGAAGTTTTGTATTTTTTACCAACTTGGTGAAAGTTTGTAAAAGAGGTGTTTGGGTGTGAGAATTGTTAGTATCAAGGTATTCTTTATAATTGCTTACAGGAAGGAGTTGGGCACATAGCAAAACCTCATGAAAAGTACCTTGTTTCCTATTCAATGATTTGATGTTCTTTAATAACTGTTTTTCCTTCACTTAACACAGGGCAATCAAGAAGTATTTCTTGAGAATCTACTGTACGCCTATGTCCACAAGGGCAGTGGTTCTCAGCTGAGATGAATTTGCTTTCTAGAAGACATTCAGCAGTGTCTGGAGTCATTTTTTATTTTCATAGTGGTGGGGTACTATTGGCATTTAGTAGGTAGAGACCAAAGATACAGCCAAAAATCCTACAAGGCACAAGATAGCCCCCTGACAAAGATTTACCTGCTCCAAAATGTTAGTAGTGTCAAGATTGGAAACCCTACACTAGAGACAGCTTGTTTGCTAGGGCATTAGTTATGTGAAAAAAGCCTAAGACATGAATCTTGCCCTCTGGCTGCTTATAATATAGTTGGAGTGAAAAAATTATTATTCCTAAACCTGTAAGGTCTACATAGTGTGATATTTTGCTGAGTGAAGTAAGTATAACCTAGTAAATTTTAATAGGAGAAGATGGTTTTGTGCTAAGTCTTAAAAAATATAAAAGGCATACATTAATATTATAGGCCACATCACATCCTTCCTAATACACAACAAACTTAGAAAACAGTACAGTGTCCTGGGTTGTGACCTTATTCTCTCATTTACATTGATTTCTTTAATGTGAAATTTAAGTTATGTTTCATTAAGCTGCTTTTTATGAACCTAAAAAGGTGCATCCCAAGTAACCTCACTTTTAGCATGTATAAATTGAATCTAGCATCTTTTCATCCAAACTTAACTTCTGTATTAATTTCCTTCCCCCAAATACATGATCCAGAAATTCAACAGTCTTCTTAGGCTCACTATATCCAGAAAGTTCCAAGTCCTTTTGATTCTTTGCTTATAGACCCTTTCTCTCCACTCTTGAAGCAACAGACTACTTCAGGCCCATATCACATATCTGAATTGTTGGAAAAAGTTAAATGACTTTCAATTTATCGGTTTTACTGATTAGTCTATTCTTGATGGAGTAAAGTCTAGTCTAAGCTGTTGGCACCTTCTGTTGAATACCATTGCTACAGGTTTAAGGTCTAAACTTCTTAATATTGAGTGTAAAGTTAATAAGAATTAGCATCTCATCTCTTATTAGCAGCAGTATTCACAATCTGCTTCTCCCCCAGTTCTGCAGCTTACTGGAAAGCCTCAAGTTCTCTTCAATACCAGCTTTTCTGGGTCATATACTCTGTATTGACTGTTTGCCTGAAGTACCCCTCTTTTTTATTTTTAGACTAGGTAGTTAAAACACAAAAATTACATATGAATAAATAATCTCTGACATTCCAGGCAGAGTTAAGTTCAGCTTCTTTAGTTCCCATTAACATTTCAAGCATATTTCATTACCATACTTCTGCATTGTGCTACAGTTGAGTGTTTATGTCTTTATTTTAAAGTATTTAGTTTGAAAGTAAGAATGGTGCTTTACCCTCAGGTTTCTAATTTTTTTTATGCCTGTATATATAGCAAGTACTACGAAAAAAAAAGCAATGTTGAATGTAAAAAAAGTGTCTTTTAACTTATTAATGTCATAAACTTTGTTCCCTAACAGAAATTCAAATCTTCCTATGAAACATTATTGAACTTTGATACATTTACAGTAGAACATAACGACCTAGTACTCTTCAGACTTAACTGGAAAAATGTTGAGGGAAGCTTGATACTAAAGGATAGAAAAAAGAAATATGAAAAAGAAAAAACGACAAACAGCAGATCTGAGAACAGCAATGAAGAAAAGTCAGAGTACATGGATGTGAGACTAGAGCATTGCTTGGCTTATGTTCTCCATACATCAGGCACTACAGGGACACCTAAGATTGTCAGAGTCCCTCATGCATGTATAGTGCCAAACATCCAGCATTTTCGGTAAGTTCTATCCTTAGAATCCTTCTTCAGGATTTTTTTTTTCTTTTTATTAAGGTATCATTGATATACACTCTTATAAAGATTTCACATGAAAAACATTGTGGTTACTACATTCACCCATATTATCAAGTATCCCCCAAACCCCATTGAAGTCACTGTCCATCAGTATAGTAAGATGTCATAGTTACTATTTGTCTACTCCATGCTACACTGACTTCCCTGTGACCCCCCCACATATCATGTGTAGTAATCATAATATCCCTCAATTCCCTTCTGCCTCCCTCCCCCACCCCTCCCCTTTGGTAACTGCTATACCCTTCTTGGAGTCTGTTGAGTCTGCT